AGGCGCGCGCTTCTCCCTAGGGACTGACAAACCGAAAGGACGCCTCCGCAGGCTAAAAAGCTTAGCGTCAGGTGTGCGTAAAGGGCGGGGCCAAGCCGCTGATTGGCCAAGGGAGCGCGAGGGCGACAGAAAGGGAGGCTCGCGGCTGAGGAGGCTGTGGCGGTTGTGGGCGGGGCTAAGAGCTAAGCGGGAGAGCCGGTGAATCTTCCTCCTCCTCCTCCTCCTCCTCATTTTCCCTCAGCGCCTGGGCGGCACCTGAGAGGAGGGAGCGCTCTTTCTCGGCCTCCTTTCTCCCTCCAGTCAGGGAGCCTCCTTTGGCGGAGAGGGCAGGTAAAGCCGAGGGCCGCTGCCCTGTCCTCCTTTTACGTTTTTTCCTTAAAGGGTTTTGAGGGAAACCATGGCGGAGGGTGGGTGCCTACCAGCCCTATTAAATCCCATGGAACTGCATCCTTGAATCCATTGAATAATGTTAGGATTCCGGCAGGCCTACCCAGTCATGACTCTTAACTACGAATAGTGTATATTGCCATGATATTATGGTGTTGTATTCTTTTGACTGTCGGTATGTGGGGTTTTAATTGTGTTTTCTGTTTTAATACGCTGTGCCCCGCCTCGAGCCTTGAGGAGAGGCGGGTGAGAAATAGCACTTATTAATATTATCATTACCTATATGGGGTTTGTATCCATTGGGAGGACTGTGGGAGGCCCTTTATGATGCAGAGTGTGTGGGATAGGACGCGGGACTGGGGCTTTCATGGGGAAAAAGGGGAGCAAAGGCTCCTCAGGAGTCTGGGGTCCTTCTATTTACTTTTTTGGGGAGGCATGTCCAGTAGAGGCCTCTGATACAGGTGAATTTTAGCCTCTGTTTGAGGGTCCTGGGGGCAGAAAGGCTCGCAGGACAAATTGGGGAGGGCCAGGAACGAAATCAATAGGGAATGGACTGGGGTGTGTGTGCTTAATTATTTGTATTTGGGATCCCCCTCCTCTCGATTTCACATATAATATGGCATAATAAACACAGGGCACACAAACCATGGGAAAATTGTGCTCTGGCTTCTGAAGGAGGCCACCCTCCTCCTTCATTGTTTTTTGTCGCAGACTCTGCTGCAATTTTCAGTGTGAACTTCACATTCCCAATCTCTATGCCGAGGGAGATCTTGCAGCACCTTTGAGACTAAACGAGAGAATTCAAAGACGTGGCCATATTAGTTTGGAAAACCAGTATCCAAAGGGACCTTGCAGCATCTTTGAGACTAAGGGCCTTTGCAGACTGCCAGAAATAGTGCACATTAAATTGAGGCATTGCCCTGGCTCAGTGCTAGGGAATCATGGGAACTGTAATTTATTGTGGCACCAGAGCTCTCTGACAGAGAAGGCTCAATGTCTCAGAAAAAAATACAATTCCCATGACTCCCTAGCACTGAGCCAGGGCAGTGCCTCAATTTAATGTGCACTATTTCTGGCAGTCTGCAAAGGCCCTTACTTAACTGGAAAAAAAAGTTAGTAGTATGAGCTTTCCTAGACTTGGTGCCTACTTCGCCAGGTTCATTTGGTGGAGTGGAAAGGCCACAAAGTTTTGAATTCCTATGGAGATTTTCAGATATAGACTGCTATATAGGTCTTTCAAAGACATAGCTGTGTTGGTCTAGAAAATTAGTATGCAAAGGGATTTTGTAGTACCTTTGGGACTAACTGAAAGAAAGAAGCTGCTAACATGAGCTTTCAAAAACTTGGGCTTGCTTCTTCCAATTTTTGGTGGACTGAAGAGCCTTAGTTATTTGAGTATGGGACTAGGACTCTGGAGAGTCCTTGCTCAGCCATAGAAAGCCACTGGGTGACTTTGGGTAGATCACACTCTCTCAGCCTCTCAAGCACAGGCAAAGCTCCTCTGAACATGCCCCCCCATGCATCTGAGGAAATAGGTTCAAGTCTATGAAAATTAATGCTGCAAACTTCTTTCTTTCAGTTATTCTCAAAGGTTCTGCAAGATCCATTTGTGCATAGGTTCTTGTTATGTGCCTTCAAATCATTTATAACTTGTGGTGACCCTGTCATGGGGTTTTGCTTGTTCAGAGGAGGTTTGCTATTGCCTTCCTCTGAGACTGAGAGCGTGTGACTTGCCCAAGGTCACTCAATGGGTTTCATGGCTGAGCTGGGAATCATAGCAAGGAATGGAACCCTGGTCTCCAGAATTGTTGTCCAACACTCCAACCGCTAAGCCACACTGGCTCTTCGGTGTATAGGTCTATCCCTGGGCTTTCCAGTCCACCAAATGCATCTGAAGAAGTAGGCTCAAGTCTACCAAAGCTTATGCTGCCAGCTTCTTTCTTTCAGTTAGTCTTAAAGGTGCTGCAAGATTGCTCGACATACTGATTTTCCAGATTAACATGGCTATGTCTTTGAATTCTTCACAATCCCTTTGCGCTTCAGAAGCTTCCCCTCTCTTAATTTGAAAGCACATTGATTTGTTTTAGTTTGGGTTTCGTGAAAACTTGTCTCTTCATGGGCAAGGCCTTACGCATGCTAGCGCCCCCCCCCCCCCCCCCTTTTCTGTGGTGTGTGAGAGTAAGATCTTGGTGGGTCTTGGGGTTGCACAGCAGTACTGTACAAAAAAGGCAGCCTTAAAAGAAGCAGCAGATGTGGAAAAGAGTGACAATGCAGGTTCTTCCCTCCTGATGTGCAAATGGTCAAAAGAAGTACAGTAGTGTCTCTCCTGTGTTGGTGGAAATGTTGCCATTTATTTGAAAACTCTCAGCAAAGAAGCAAGTGTAGCTTTCAGTATGAGTGAATTATGATTTAATGGTTGAAGCTGAAGTACTGTTTGCCATCAATACCTCTCAATTTTCAAGGAATCAGTCATCAGCTAGTTTCTCTTACACAATAACTTCTTGAGTGTCTATTTTTGCTAATAGTTCCTCAAAGTACTGAACTAATACAAGAGATACAATAATATTACTGTTCATAATTTGAATTTGGCATTTCTCATATCCAGAAATATTGCACATTCATTACTGGAAAAGGAAGCTTCCTTCTAAGCTATCAGCTGAAGACTGATTAATGCTTTCCATGTTAAATTTGATTTCTAATTTTAAAGAACCTATTAATCTGTGCCACACACAGCCTTCTGATTTGCTTGCAGTTATTGGTTCATGTTTATCTGATGTATTATAAGCAGGGGTGTAAATATAAGTAAATTTAATTCTGAAAATGAATCAGCTTTGACTCATGCTTTGAACCCTTGAAACTTGTGTCAGGTTGAAACTTGCACAGTGGTGGGTGTAGCTTGTATTGCATGCAGTGACGTGATACCATTCCAATAATGTAGGTGTTTTCTTACAACTATTAAAACAGGTTTTGGTTACTGATTTTTGCAGTAGATGCTGACTGTTGCAGGCAAGGTCTTCTTGTAGCGCAGGGGTAGGCAACCTAAGGCCCGGGGGCCGGATGCGGCTCCCCAAGGCCTTTGGACCGGCCCCAGGCCAGTTCTGCCCCCCCGCCGCCCCCCGCCGCCCCCCGCCGCCACCCACCATGATGATATTGATTATTGTTGTTGTTACTTGTTCTTGGGGTTTTCTTGGCAAAATCTCCACAGTGGTTTTGCCATGGCTTTTCTGGGGCTGAGAGAATGTTCATGCATATATATATTTTTTAATTTTTAATTTTTTTTTAAAAAAATATTTTTATATTTCGGCCCCCCAATTGTCTGAGGGACAGCAATCCGGCCCCTGGCTCAAAAAGGTTGCCTGCCCCTGCCGTAGAGTGAGGCAGTCACCTCCAGGGATGGATTGGAGGAGGACAGCAGTGTGAAACTTGTAGCTGTTCCTCCTGAATCTGCTAGTCATTCACATATGCTGGGAGCTTTATCCGTGACACAGTCTGCCCAGGATCCCCCAAATTAGCCTGCTACCCAAAAGTGAGTGGATGATATTATCCTGTTGCCAGTGATGAAATAAGCTTTGGTAGGCAATTGAATGTGGAGTAAGTCCCTTGCCTCTATTAGCAAAATGTCTTGGCTGGACCGATTCTAACTTTAGTCCTCTGTTGTATATTTTTGCTCTTCAGGATCTTTTCTAGTTCTTTCATAGCTGCCGTAACCATTTCTCAGCAGACGAGGTTGTAGTATCCTGTAGTTCAGGCAGCTCCTTCCACTTGCTCCTAATAGGCAGGAATCAAACAAAGACCTGGCTCCCTTGTGGGAGTGGCAAGACCCCCTTGGAAGTCTTTTTCCTGCCTATTCTCCTAGTAGAACACACTTTTTGGAGTCATTTGAATTTCTTCATCTTGTGAAGAATTGCTGTTCATTTTACCTGCAGAGCTTTTTTCCTGGCCTCTAACCATCACCCCTCCTTCCAGCCTTACCAGTTTCCTAGCATGGGAAATGGGCTCCTTTGATTTGTGGAACCAATGTCTGGGGAGGAGGCCAGGATGATGGCTGAGGGGGTCCCTCTGTGCAGCCTGTGCTGGCACTAGGATTGGGAGCACAGCAGGCCGACCTGCTATGGTTGGAGAGAGATAATGGAGCACAGCCAGGGGAGGAGTTTACTCTCCGCATTTCTGAGGATGTCCAATCCCTCCATCCAGCCTGTTCAGGGCCACCGGCCTGGGAAGCACAGCCAGCTTCGGTTATGATGCAGGATCCAGGGGCAGTAAGTACTACCTACCTTCCTCCCTACTGGGCCACCATCAGCGCATCTTCCCCCAAGCTGACTGATTTTATCAGGGCAATTTTCAGCCAGACAGCGGACTCCTGCTTCAGGGTGTCTGGAAGGTGAGGGGAGACACCTGTTTTGGATTCCAGTGCTCCCCAGCCGCCAGTTACACCACAGACTGGGTGCTCCCAAGGCTGAGGGGCTTAGCGGTGATAGTGGGGCTTCCTTATCCAGAAGGGACACTCATCCCTGGGAAGGATCAGAGGGGCCTTCTGCTGGTTCTTCTCTCCTATCTGGCCATGAGGGGCACCCTTCCCAGGCCGCTGTGTCCGTGGATGGATGTTTGGGTGCCCAGGTCACCACAAAATTGGGAGAGCCCAGATAAGGTTGCTCACTTGGGCCTCATGAATGGGGGGGGCACTATCTTGGCTGCATGGGCAATGAACGCCATTTTGGCTGCATGGCTCTGGCTGCCATCTTGGCCCATCAACGAGACCAGCAGAAAAGCCACGCTTTGGGAAGAGGAGGAGATCTCCCTGTCCAAATCGGAGGTGGAAGCCTCACACTTTCTCTTCCTGACAACCTAAATAGGGTCCTCAGGCCCACTGAGGAGGCAACATTGGGTTCCCCTCTGCCTCACAGAGTGAGCGAGAAGTGAGAGTTTTTGATGCAGAGTTTGTGTGTTGGTCTGCGACTCTGGAGACTAGGGCTCAAATCCTGACTCAGCCATTAAATCCACTGGGTGATCTTGGGCAAGTCACACTCTTTCAGCCTCAGAGGATGGATATGACACCCCCCTGCCCCGAATAAATCTTTGCCACCGTGGAGGCAGAGGAGGGGGAACTGTTGGGAGGACAGCACAACGTGGAGAAGGCAAAGGAGTATCAAAAGTCCAGTCCAAAGATCACACGATAACAATCCAGAAGGTCACAACAATTGACAGAGGTACAAGCGTAGTCACAAGGCAATTCCAAAGGTCAGATAATCGAGGTATAAAACAGATAGTAAGGAACACAGGAACAAGGAGGCTGCAAGATGGATTGTTGGCTGCAAAGAATCTCAGCAATTAGAGCCCTTTAAAAGGACCTCCACGTCTCTCAGCTGAAACCTATTAGCTCTCCTCTTGGCTTCTAGCCAAGGACTCCTTGGTTTGTCTTTGCTCCACAGGTCCTA